GATAAATTCCAATTTCTTATAAAACTTAATGAATTTATTATGATTTTTAATACTAAATTTATAATAAATTATGATTTAGTATAAAATTTAATAAATTTATTCTGATTTTTTATATTAAATGTAGAATATGATTTATTATAAAATTTAATAAACATTTTCTGATTTGAATAAATATTTTAAAAATACTAACTAGTTAATATTTTATTACTTGAAAAAATATTTTATGTTTTATATTATAAAGTAATTAATTTATTCTTTTGTTTTTATTTTTTGTTAATTATTTTTTATAAATATTTTATAAAAAAATTAACTAGTTAACATTTTCTGATTTTTATTTTTGTTTTCTAATGAATATTGTAATTTGTCTCAAATATTAATTTTCTTATTATTTATTCATTTTAGTGGCTTTTGTAGTGAGGGTCTATATTATTGTTGTAGACCTTCATGTACTGTAATAAGAGTGAAATAAATATTCTATTTATAAGTTTTCATTTATGAGGTCTATAATATTACAATAGACCCTCTTGCATTGTAACATGTTTATATAAAGGTGTTTTAAAGATTCCATTTTAGGGCTTGCTATTGTGATGGTCTATAGGCTTCCATAGACCATCATGGACTATAGCAAGTCTTTAAAGTTTAAATAAACTCAAGTTAAGGCAAAGGTTTCAATTTCATTCGAATGAACTTCAGCCTACTCAAAGTGTGTCTGCAACCAGTGAGCAGCAAACCAGCACTCAATGAAGCCCTTCAAGAAAAAAATAGAAGAAGACGAAGAAAATTCTCCTCCTTCTTGACCTTGAGTTCACACCTTCCCCTGCCCTCTTTCTCTCTCTTCTTTTTTCCTAGGTTTTTCATGGTTATTCACCGTGAGAGAGAAATAGGGTTATTGCATATCTGAATAAAGATGATAACAATTTCTTCAAAGTTTCATAAGCTGAACGTCCTGCTTCCAAGAAAAAGATATTTCAGTGCATGACCACTCTTGTGCTTGGTTAGATCCTGAAGTTGTATTCCAGCTCTAGGTACACAACATAAAACCCCTTTTTATAATAAAAAAAAACCTCTTCTTTTTCCCCTTTAACATCTCTTTTTGTTTGATATGAGATGTTTGTAGTATGCTGAGTTGTCGACATATACTTGGAAATATTTTGAAATATTATATATTTTTTGTATTTTGGAACGATATGGTCAGCATTTACCGAAATGGTCGAAATATCGACTGATATATTGTATTTTTTTAATTCATGTAAAGTTTATGTCGCTAGGTCTCGACACCGACATATGTCGAGCGACATTTCCGACATTTCATGACATCTTAAACCATGTTCTGGACTTGGTTGTATTGACATCACCAACCAATGGGGCTCAGTTGAGAGACACACCTGGGTGTGTTGGTGCGTTCGAGAAAAGAATTGAGACAAATGATTCATTGTGACAGTATATGCTGCTTCGTTATTGGAGAAAATACTCTGTTGTCTTCTCTGATGGATTCCCAATAAATCATGTCGACAGGTGATTTCAAAATGGCTTTGACATCTGGTTTGCAAAATGTATACTATATTATATGAATTAGTTTTCAACTTGTTTACAACACGTTTTCATGGGAATTCATCATGGTAGAGGACAACACTGGAAGTCTTGAGGGAACAAGTCCTTCCCATCATTCCCAATGTTGTGTATTGTGAGTGGAAGGATCACATTGCAATCATTCGATTGGTTGTAACACTCATTGTATACAAGCTAGCTCGAACTATGTTGGACCTTGCAGATGGCTGGGCCTAACACAACCCAACGCTGGAGTGGATTTGGGCTGAGTTGAGGTAAAATTGCCACCCAGTAGTCCACGAAGCCAAGCAACTTATCCTTGATAACCATGCGATCATACGGCATCATGGGGTTTCTTGCTACAATTAGGAGTCTATCATGAATTGGTCTCACTTAGGTTGCTAGTTGGTTTGATCTAGGAACCCTATGGGTCCCACAGAACCCACACGAACTAAGATTCCCCCTATCCCTTGCCTATTTTGATTGGATTTACATCCAGTTTGTTTTGGATTTGTTTCCTATTTGGGATTGAGCTGAGATTTAGGAACTACGGTTTTGGTTTGTCCCTTGCTCAAGGTTCAAAGTATCGATACACCCCTGTGTATCGGCAGGGGCATATCGGTACTAAAAACTAACCGCTTAATGTTTTTTTTAGTTTTTTTTCAAAACTTGATTTCTGGAAATAATTTTTAAGTCTTTTTTTATTGAAATAAATGGGGATCCCAAAACACCTGTAAATAGGTGTATCGAGACCAAAAGATACAATACGATACGCCAGATATGGGGTGTATCGTATCGATACTTTGAACCTTGCCCTTGCCAATGGATTGATTGATAAGATCAATTTTGTGAATCCTAAACCCAAGCACAAAGAATCAAGTCTAAAACCCTAGTTCCTAACCTATAGAAACCTTATTTTTGTTCTTGGAACTTTGGAAACCATTGGAATAAGGAGGTGATCATTCTAGAACCCAAGAGGAGTTGTACCACCTACAGCTTGGGCTAATAGATGGATAGTGCTGGATATTGGATGTGAAAACCATAGAGGGCTTTACACTTGTGGGAGCTTCGTTTCCGAGGTATAATTTACTTTTGCCCAGTCAATTGATATAATCTCAAGGGGGTTTTGATGGGAAAATGTTCTTAAGCAAAGGGGACATCTCTCAATTAGAGCTTCTCTCATTTATCTTTAAAGATTCTAGCATCCCTCACCAGCCATACCGTTCACAATAAGGATGCTCTTGTGCATCTGCACATCATCTTACACCACTTCTTGTGTGAAAAGAAGAAAGCATTACTGAATGAATTTTCCACATCCACTAGAGGATTATTGTATCTACATCAAAAAAGAGAAAAGAAGAATCTCAAAAATGCTGAACACAAAAGGACAAAATATTAGTAGGTGAAGGTAAATTCAGAGCTTCTTCTACAACAAAAGCACATGTGAGGTGATACACACAAAAAGGCTTTCTTCTTTTAATATTTTCACAAGCATTCATTTTTCATATCAACTACCTTCCAGTCCAGCAGAAAGCCGTCTCTTTAATGGTAGCAGTCCTCCCCAAACTACTTTTACAGGAAAGGACAACTGATTATCGTTTTTTTTTTGGAAAAAAAGTAAAATTGTATTAAGATGCTGAAAATACTACAATACAATACAACACAACACAACAGGGGAGCCCCGCAGCTGGACCATCATAAAGTTTTGAAGAATGAAGCACAAGAGAAGCATCCCAATGAAAAAGCAAACCAAATCCTAGAATCCAAAGAAGAACAATGAAGGTAAACAATTTCCAAGGTAGGGGTGATCACAAGGTTCAAAGTACCGATACACCCGGTACGCATGAATGTTTGTATCGTGCATTTGGGATGACTTATACACTTTTTTTTTTGTTTCATATTTTTACAGGGGGTCTACAACATCCTATATAAAGATTAAAAAACATCAAAATTTTAAAACTCTTAATATTAAGTGTTTCAGTGACCCCCCCCCCCGGAAGTACCAGTACTTTTGAACCCAGCCCAGCTTGCAAATATTTATACACGTCTATGTGTGTGCGTATGCTATTTTATAATTTTTATATAAATCTTATAATACAAGACATAGAATACATATTACATATAATATTTTATATTATATAATGTATAACATAAATTTTATAGATGTATTACATAATAGTCCCAAAACCCAGTCCAATCCTGGCCTGGTATTTCAGGCCCAGGGTGGTTTGGACCCAGGCTATAGCCCTTATCATAGGTGCTAAGCCCGACCAGCATGGTCCATGATCACCCCTTCTCCAAGGATTTCATAAGTGAGAGAGCTCCATGAAATTCATGCTTTACCAAACCTCTCCTAAGGCCCAAATCTCAATCTAGCCCAATTTTAGAGGAGACATAATGGAAGATCAATTTTCCCAAGTACAACCAAGAGGTGGTGATGTAGTGTCTCCACTAGTGTCTTTCCTCAAGACAATAAGGTGATATCTGCCTGTAGTGACAGTTATTTTTGGGTATAGTCTTTTCGCCCATATATTGTCAATGGATGGCGCAGCGACAATGGATAAAGATGCACTTAGGATTGTCCAGAATTTGCGAAAGCCTAAATCTGTCAGGGAAGGAAGATGAAGTGGGTGGGGACCTGTTTTCATGATCAGGTCAGATCTTGGCAATGGGCAATTTGGGGTTTGAAAAGATGACTGTGACCTTGCAACAATTGCGCATGACAGCATTTCCACTCATATGGTCTTGGTGCTTCTTGATCAGCCTTCAAGAGATGGGTTCTCAGTAAAGCCTAACTCTAAAAAGTTACAAGACACAACAACAATGAGGAGACTGGGATGAGTTCTGATTTGGATGGGGATAACCAAATGTCAAATATGAGTAATGGTGTGGAAGGTGAGGGTGTGACAAACAAGTGAGAATAGTGTGCAATTGGATGAAATTACTTTTCTCAACAAACTGTTATCCCTGAATCAGATGGTATGCTATAGAGTTGAGATGGCAGATTCTTCGAGCCTATTCTTCGTGGCGAGAAATGAAAAGGCTTTCATGAAGAGGGTTTAGTAAGGCAGGAAGAAGTGGATAGTAGTAGACTTGAAATCCAATAGAGAGTCTGGGAATGCAAATGGAAGTCTATAATCTTCTTGCATGGGATAGGAATCAACTCAACTCAGCCTAAGTCCCAAAATTTTGACATCACCTACACAAATCCTTTGTTTTTTTTTTCCTGTTTATTTTGATAGGTAACAAATCTCTTTATTGCTGATTGTTAGCAAGGATAATACATTACACTGATTTGAGCACCCAAATATATAGGCTGGAATTTCTCCACCTAACCCATACTATTGTACATCAAAATCAGTTGACCCCTATTACCTCCAATTCCCTCACCAATCATTGTATCCTTACAGTTTGTTACCAATTGCCAAACCACTTGGCTATGGCTCCTTAGCCAGCTGACCACTACTTTGAAGTTCCCTTCAACCATTATTTTGCTGAAATTCATTGATTTTGCCAGCCTCAGGCCTTGTACAGCTTCTCATTGTACAAAGGACCTTTTGATTAATACAAGTATATTTTACCTTTTCTCAAAAAATTGGACCTGAATCATGTCATTACCATCTCTAAAGACCACACCAATTTCACAGGGTCCTGGTTGCTGAACCAACTTCCATCAAAACTGAGCTTTATTTAGTCACTACTTGGAGGTAGCCAATGTGACATGCCAATCTCCTAGAAGATGAGCTAGCAACTGCCCCCACCCAACCTCTAATAATATTATCCATTGAAAATGGGGCAAATAAGTCCCTGATTTCTATCCAATGTACCACTCTTATTGTAACTCCTTCCATTAAAGATGATTGCATTCCTCTCTTCCCAAATCACCCAAATGATTGCTGCCCTTGTACATTGCCACATGATTCCCCTCTTCTTGGCAACAAGAAGGTGGCCGGGCATAATAAACCAGCAAGATGGGCAGCACAAATCCTATCCCACCAGTGCACTTTATCAAGAGCCACATTTTCTGTATTGTGAGTCCTGATCATCTCTTACCACTTCAGCCTGTGCTTCCTTAGGTCTTTCGTTGCTCTTTTGGAGCCTCCTACTTGTACAGGTTACTCAATATCACCGGTGTAACTACAAAGCTCAAAAGGCCCTTTCCCAATCAAAATTTAGGGTTCCTCATTCAATACAAGATGAGGAAACTGAAGACCTTCAAATTTCTTCAATAAAGAGATCCATAACACAGTCAACCTTTCGATTCAGCATATAACCACCTAGCCGACACACCCCTTCCCATCAAATATTCTATGGCTCCTTTCTCCAAACACTCAAGCAAATTGCAAAAAGTGTTAGGTTCCAAAAGATGTCCCCCCAGCCTTTGCTGAAACCTTTGGACTGTCATAACTCTGTTGTTGCAATAATTGGTTTTTGCATGGGATGTGGCTGAACCTAGGGAAGAGAGATAGGGGTAGAAAGAAGCTCAAGAAAGATGTGTCAAGATCACTAGGGCGCATAGGAAAGGTGGTAGGCGGAAAAACTGAATTATGAGGGGCAGGGGTTGAGATGACCACTGTTTATGTGGAAGTTGTTGCGGAGATGGATGAACTGACTTTCCTTCTATTAATTGTTAATGTTAAACAAAGTAAGTTAAAACTCCAGACCAAAAAAATCCTTGCTTGCCAGTTCCTTGTACAAATGTTACGAGGAAAAGCAACAGTTCAATGTTGAAAGGGTTGCACATGCATCACTTCCTGCAATTTCTTCAACAAAGAAGGGCTAGGAAATCAAAAACAATAAAACAATGCAACAAAATCAATGAAAAACCTGATTTTGTGAAATGGCATTTAATAGTGCATCTCTTTCTTTGTAAGCAGGGAGGCTTCTGCGAAACTCTTGTATCTTTTGACCTTCAGGGGATTCCTGTACAAAATTGTAGTTTCAGTTACTGATCAAAAAGAAACAGTGGCTACATAGTTATAAACAAGAAGAATGCCAAAAGGGGCAAAAAGGTTTGAAAAAACATGCATTGGATGTTGGACATGACTTTTTTTGTTGGCAACTCGGTGGAAATTTTATTAATATGTGGAAAAAAATAGGAAATATGTAGAATGCAATTTGTGCCAAGCACCCCACAGTATCATTCAGGTTAGCGTAGCTACCTAACCCATCATATGCCCTTTACTTAGATTAATGGGTTACTCTTTTTTCCCTGAGTGACTCCCCCAATACTTTTTTTTATCAGCAAAGAGAAATTTCTTTCATTAAATAAGTTAAAAAGTGCAGAGCAGAGCCGGTTAAGACCAGCAACCCAGTCACTTGTCACTATCCCATATTACAGTTTTGCCCATTCACTAATTACCAGCACAAATTACAGTTTTTCCCAGAACAATTGTTCCCTATGAACTCCTTGCTTAGCAAGGACATCTGCCAGTCCATTTGCAAATCTTTTCACCCATATGAAGGTAGCTTCCAACTCATTTTCTAGCTTGACCATTTCTCTTAGAGTTTGCCTATGTATCCAACACCTGTTTTGTTGCATCTCATCCAAGATATGGCCAACTGTGAATCCCCTTGACCCCTTCAACCTCTAAATGCTTCAGTCCAAACTGTTTTAGCTAATTTCAGTCCATGAAGTAGAGATAGGATTTCAGATTTTAGAGGATCCTCATGCCCAATTAGTCCTGAATACATTGCCATAACCACACCATTTTCATTTCTGAAAACTCCTCCAATTCCTTAGGATCCCGGATTACCCAAAGAGCCTCCATCAAAGTTCAACTTTATTCTGTTATGTGGGGGAGGTTTCCAATCCACCAAAACTGTGTCTCTTCTGTTGTACTTATCCTTGAAGATCCATTCATTCCTTTCTTCCCAAATTGACCATAACACAGCTGCTAGTGCTCTCGCTGCCCTCCATAGTATCCTGCCTCTTTTCTTAGGCTGCCTAATATAGTTGAGATTGAAAATAAAAGCCACATCTTGAGGACCAAAGAAAAGAGCAAAAATACTTCCAAACACATTTTACATAAGGACGGGAGATTAGTAAGTGGGGAAGGGTCTCACTGCTGGCCTTACAGAGAATACAAATATGAGGTGAAATGCATTTATTTGGCCTTTTTCTGGAGCACATCACAATTATAGATTTTACCAAGAAACACTTCTCAACAGAAGGCCTTTGCTTTAAATGGAACTGGTCTACTCCAAATTTCGTTCACAAAAAACAATGCCCACCCACAATGTTTTGAGAGAATAGAACATTAAAGAAAGAAGAACAAGAGATATAACCATCAAGGGAGGCAGTCCAAATTCTATAGTCTGCTGATTGTCAATCCAAGAAGACTGAATTAAGAAACAACAATAGTTCAACCACATAGTCACACTCTCTTTCCCAAAGGCCTTATAAAACCAAAATCTCAATTTAAACCCAAGAAGAGACCAAATAAAATTTCGTTATGGGTTCCTTCTGATACTTATAGAGGGAATAGAGGAAAGGAAATTTCACATTTAAAGGAGAGTCACCCAACCAGAGATCATCCCAAAAAGAGGAGTTGAAAGCAACGCAATGGTGGAGGAATCTAATTGCAACTAAGTTTGGGGTGGAATGGGGTAATTGGAGATCCTTGGACCCACTGCAGAATTGGGGTTGTTCTCTATGGAAAGGAATTGTAAAGTCCTTTCCTGCTTTCTCAGCTGGTCTAGGGTTCAAGATTGATAGAGGAGACGGCCTGAAATTTTGGAAAGATCCCTGGTGTCTGGACACTCCCCTTGCTGAGGCTTTTCCCCTTCTCTATCAGTATGCTGCTAACCCAGATATTTCAGTTGCTGATTCTTATGACATGGGTGGAAGTTCCATCTCCTGGGGCCCTCTCTTCAGGAGAAATCTTTTTGACTGGGAGATGGAACAATTAGTGGAGCTCCTGCAGCTCTTACAGAGGCAAAACATTACAGTAAATATGGATGATGAATGAAGTTGGAAATGGAGAGTATGTAAGATCTTTTTTCAGTCAAATCTTTGGCTTCTAATCTCAGCAAGACAGATATTGCCGGCTTTCCAGGAAAGCAGGTGTGAACCCAATCAGCCCTTCCAAGGCAAACTTTCTGGTTTGGGTTTTGACTGTAAATAAATGTCTTTCAAAAGTCAATTTGGATAGGAGAGGGCTGCAGATTTCTGATCAGAACTGTGAGCTGTGTGGGGACTTGTACAAGAGACAGCCGACCACCTCAGCATCCACTGCCATAATTCTGCCAAGATTTGGGAACATTTCCTTAAAGCCACCGGCGTTGACTGGGTCATGCCCAGTTTGGTCAAAGAATTGTTATAAGGTTGGAAGATGCCTGGTCTGAAGGAAAAGGGGAAGCTGGTCTGGAAAACTATTCCTGTTCTAGCGACTACTTGGACTGAGAGAAATAATTGAGTTTTCTGCAACAAAGCGAGAAACACAGAAGATCTAATACATCTGTCTGTGAACAAACTTGCCTTAGGATTTCTGTATCTTCTGAGTTTAAGCATCAAAATGTGTTTCAGATGCTCTATTCTCAGTCTGTGTGGAACTTGTAATGTGTTTTTTCCTGCTTTCCGGTGAGGTGCACAGGGAAGATGTTGTAATACTTTCTTTCTTCCATTAATAAAATTTTTTAGCATCATGAATGTTCACAATAACTTTGTGCCACAACCTATCCCTCTCCAAAAGTAATCACCACAATCATTTTCCAAGTAAAGCAGTGTTTCTATGAATTAAATTCCCTAAACCCAATCCACCCTGATCTCTAGGTTTAACTAACCACCTCCCACTTAACCCCACCCTATAATCCCTTTTATCCTCTCTAGGTTCCTAGAGAAAACCTCTCATACACTTTTCAAGTTTCTTAATCACCTTGATAGGGATACATGAAGTGGATAGAAAGTAAATGGGTAGGTTTGCCATTGTACATTTGAGTGAAGTGATCCTCCCCCCCCCCCAACCCAATTGAAATATAGTTCTTCCAAAGTGTCAGTCCAACACTCACTTCCAAAAATCTTTTGTTTTCAGATTACCTCCCAATGGCAGTCCAAGATAATCCAGAGGCCATTACTTGGTTTCACAATCTAATAATCCTAGGAGTGCCCATAGCTCTCTTTCTAACATATTTACCCCTGTCACACAACTTTTACCCATATTTACTTTCAAACTAGAGATTTTCTAAAATTGACTTATTAGTCCCTTTAGGTTCCTGAAATTTTCTTCAACTCCTTCCTCAAACTACCACCCTCCAACCCTTGATTCAATTATTAGCATCTGGTTTCAGCCCAGTATTCCTTCCTTCTGTCATGTAGACATCTTTCAGTTTGACCTCCAGCCCACATTCATTGCTCTCTCAAGAAAAGTTTGGAACCATGGAACTGCCTCATCTGCTAGGAACACTGTTCCTCTTCTTCCCTCTCGTATCTTCACCACAAGCTTCCTTTATTGTGAAGTCTCCTCCAACAATAGTTCTTTCAACTTGATTATGAAGCTTTTCCTCCATTTCCTCACTTGTGAGAAGAAACTCTCCATTTTTCAGGCCTCCTCCATTCTCTGTTTTAATGATTTTTTTCTCTTACTATAAAGAAAAGTAAGGATAGGGTTCATTCATAGTTTTCAAAGAGCCAAGGCAAAGCTAGTCACCTAGGCAGGCGCCTAGGTGTCACCTAGGAGATGAGTTTTTTAAAATAAATAAATAAATAAATATGTATATATATACCTAGGTAGATCCCTAGGTTTTATAGAAATAAGTAGTGATCTTTAACTAATAATCACCATAGTTCTCATGAAACAAGTATAAACCCCATAGCAATAAATAGAAAGTGAACATATTTATGAGTAGAAAATAAGAAAGGAAAGAAACATACAAAACATAAGGGTTAAACCCTTGTTTTGGTTCTAGGAAGAAGAAGAAGAAGAAGTCCTATTGATTGTTCTTGTGTTCTTGTGTGTCTTGTTCTTATGTGTCAATTGGATAAAATTTTCAAGTTACTTTTTACTTATCAATTCAGGTTTTAAGTCTTAAAGGGATCAAGACTATGTCACTGACTTGTGTCTTGATTGAACCCAAACAAATAAGAAAATAACAGTCATGCACATTTTGATGTAGTTTTTGTGTTTTCTGTATGGAGAGGCAGCACCTCGTGCCTCTCTAAGGGGATTTTCATGTAACCGATCTTTGAATTAATGGAATATGACTCTTTACTTATCAAAAAAAAAAGAAAATAACAAAAAGAAACTAGTATAAGAATAACAACATTAATACTATAAACCCACAATATGAATAATTTAGTCTAATAATATATATCGTACTACTATTAATAACATAAAATAAAAATATAAAATAGTGTGGTGTCTTACATATATTATGTAGGCGTTTGGGCAAGGTGGCCCTCCAAGAATGCCTTGTCGCCTAGGTGGGCGCCTAGGCGTCGCCTTGACAACTGTGGATTCATTAATTTTATTGACAAGATGATGCACTTTGAAATTTGTTAAGGTAAAAGCAAACCTGCCAAGCTTGTTGCTGATTACGCAGTTGCAAACTTCTCCGCCTAAGAACTTTCTCCATTACAACACTAGTAGGTATTAGTGGTTCCTGTTGCTCAAAAAGCCCTTCATCGGTAGCAATACTGCCACTGCTGCTAGATCTTGAAAATGTAGCATCTGGAAAAGTTCCTTTGTTCATAGGTTTCCGATAAAGGTATTCTCTAAGATGAGTATCCACTCTTCTTTGCAAACCAAGTGGTATGATCACCTGTCAATTCTTGAGAATGTCAAAGAAACATAGAAACAGTGTGCAATCAAAGAACAATGAAAAATTTACTCACTTTGAATCACAATGACCTTTGAAAAAGAAAAACATTTTTTTTTTATGAATGATAATAAATTTATTAATTCAGAAGCAGATTTAGAGTGAGTTCATACAACATCCCAGGGAGAGGCGCGAGCTGCAGCCCCTCCTTGAATCTTACAAGTAAACTAGGAAAGAAAAGCAAGAATCACAACTGAGCCCAAAACAAGTCTTCCCTATTTACCCCTTGCTTAGCTAACACAT